TCATCAACAAATGGGTTAGCTTCGAAAACCCTTCCATTTTTCTTCTTCTTCTTCTTTGTATCTGAGCCAACTGGAAGTTGCAGGCTTGGAGGTAAAGGCCACTCCCCGCACTATAAGTAACGCCTAATTAATTATTGTTTATTGCGTATACCACCACCCACATATATAATGGGCTAACAATAAAAGTTTACAACAATATCAAATAGTTTCTTCCAAGTTTCAATTTTGACCCAAAAAAAATATATTAATTAATTAATTAATTAATTAATCGATATAAAATTAAAAAATTTTATTTTTATTTTTGGGTTTAATCCCGAGTAAATACATAATTTATTAGGCATAAAATTAAAAATTGAAAGTATTAAAAGTTTAAAAATCTATTAGACATGGTAAGAGTACGTCATTTTGATATTAAGAAATTAATTAGTTACAAAATTGAAAAATTCACGCAAATTATAAAGAAAATTATTTGAGGAGCGCGAATCATATGATAAAAATTATTCACTTTTATATATCATAACAGTAGAAATTTTAAAAATTCAGTTAATTAAGACATTTTCAATTATTTTAAAAGTGATATATGTTTGAATTTTGGTTCTAATAAAAAGAAAAGTTGCCGTGTTAGCATATTCCAGTTCAATGAGCATAATTCTAATTGTTTTGTTCTAAAGCAAACTGCCTCGCAGCTTGTCTTATTCAGATACTTACGATAAAAAAACATTGGATTCTCTTTCGAGTAGATCCTGAAAGGAGAAGAAGACTGAAATGCCAATAGGCGTCTATTATTGAATTCACTTGATTCGATAGTATCCATTTTTGGAAGGTCCAGTGACAAAGTTACTGAATGGATAAGTGTTATATTTTTATTTTAAAAGAGGGGTTAAAATTTTTATTATAAATATTAAATTAGATGTAATATGAACTTTTTATGATACAAAGAATGATTTAATTCATGAAATCGATAAAAGTAATAAACTTTCAGTTAAAACGAAATGATGAGAAATTGAATTTATTGCTGACGAAATTGCGTCTCTGTGTTCAATAAAACAATGAGTAAAGAGAAAGTGAAAAATACCATTTATTCTATTTCCATTTATAAACTTTTAAAATGTAATTTTAATTTAATTAATTATTTTACATAAATGTGTATTAACAATATTGTCACGATATATAAATATATAAAGATTATAATATTTATCCAATCATATAGTCTGATTTAATAGATAAATTTGATACATATTATATTTATTTAAAAAAAAAACATCGTTTGGGTTGCTTCCTCGTTGGCTTGTCTGTCTTGGAAGTTTTAAATAGCATATATATATATATATATATATATATATATATATATATTGTCTTTTCTTTTTTATTTTTAATTATTATTTAACTTTAAAAAAAAAAAAAGAAGGGAAAATGATGGATGAGTGGCTTCTAAGTCCCTCTGCCCCTCTCTGCTTCACATTGGATTCATTGAGGAGCCGTGCAAGTAACGTTTTTTTACTTCAAAATGATCCATTATAAATTTAATTTTTAAAAATTTAAATATATATCTATTTGTAAATTTAATCATTTAATTATGATATTTTTTGAATTAATGGAATTAATTAAAAATAAATAAAGTTTTAAGGTTATATTAGATATAAACTAATTTTTAAAATTTTGAATTAATTAAAAATTTAGGAACAAAAAAAATACGAAATTAAAAATTTGGACTAAATTTTATAATTTAAAAAATTGTTGTACAATTCCATGTTTACCCTTCCGTTTCTCCCTTTTTCCTGTTCTCGCGAACTCCTCCCTTTCTTCGTTCTCTTGTGTCAGCTGAATCCTCAAGTTTACGCGCCTTCAAAGACGCTTGATCCTGTTCCTTCCAGCTTATCTCTATCAATTGTCCCTCCCCTCAATCTTCTTCGCCTGGCTGCTTCGAGGTTTGTTCGTGAATTTTCATTTTCCTTTGAGATTCTGTTGTGTTAGGGTTGCTGAAATCACGATTAGATTATTTTTGTGTTATTGTTCGCTATATCTCTCTCACTGTTCCAAAATGTTGTTCCAGAGTCATCTATCACAGATTAATTAGCGTTGAATGTACATGTTCTTCCAGCATGAGAATGGATTGAGGATTTGATGATTGTAATTGCTGTTTTGTTTATTACTTGTGCACATTTGTGAAAAACTGGCGTTTATCACTTTATTCTAGGCTGAGTACGGTGAATTTGACCTATGGAATCTGCAATTCCTTCTGGAAACTCTTTGCAATTCTTCACTTGGTAGTAGTTATTGATTAACAGCCGTATATTGTATTTTAGCACTATCACATACTGCCAGAGGCTTGATTAATGACATATAATGAATTTTAATATTCTTTTCATGATCTTGAAGAAGGAAAAGACTTATGGCTATTACATTCATGGTTGCTGGCCGAATTTCTTTGGATCTGTACTAATGTAGGCATGATTTTGTTTGTAAATGTTATTCACAGTCCTGTTTCTTTAGCAAACCTGAATCCATTTTTGCATTTCTTCTAAAGCCAGTTGCATTGATTCCATGATATCTTTTATTTTGCACGATAATCTCAGTAACTTTAGCACCAGCTCTGGATCAAGATTCTGGTCAAAATTGATGCTCTAATACCAATTGATAGGACTCTGATCTTGCAATAGAAATTGACAGAGAATAACACTGAAATCGTATTGCACTTGTAATGGCTTGCACTCTCCCATTGGCCTTATAGACTATGGTATGGATTTCTTTTTGGTTTATAAAAAATCTTCTACTGACGTGAAGTGTCAATTTATTTGACTAAAATGGTTTGGTTTGTGCTATGCAACAAAATGGAATTTCATCTGTATTATGAGATCCATGGGGCTTTTGTTTTAACTTCATGTGCCATTTATCGTTCATAGAGTTTATATAAACTATTTTTAATACACTTTTTCAATTCAGTTTTCTTTGATGGTAGTAATTTATCATACCTGCCTTCTCACTCTTCTTCTTAATTTCCCATGATGTTTTCATTGGTACTTTGTAGGAATTGGTAAAGCTATAAGCAAAGTTGTACACAATCATGATAGGGAGTTGATTGAGATTGCTGCACATAGACCCGATCCTTAGAAAATCATTCGGCATTGCGCCTTCGAGCGCGAAAGGAAATATTTAAATTATCCAGTTGACCTCTGCTGTGGAGCAGAGATGAGCATGAGGTTGGTAGAAAAATGTGTTAAGCTGTCAACTCACAAGAACTTTCTGGCTTGCAACAAAGTTGGTTTCCACCCTCGACTTCTGCATAATGGTCCAGACACCATTGATGAACTCTTAGACAGACATGTGGTAAAGAAAGAAAAGTCCTTTGATGATGATGAAGAAGAATTGATAACTCAGCGACGCCTCACCAGCACTCGACGTGAGGCTCTAAGTCTCTACAGGGACATTCTCCGTGCAACTCGATTCTTTATGTGGCCAGATTCTCGAGGTGTCTTGTGGCGAGATGTTCTCAGGCAGAATGCACGGAAGGAGTTTGAGGACGCCCGCTTTGAGACTGATCCAGAAATTGTGACCAGACTTCTCATTGGTGGGCGTGATGCAGTGCAGTCGGCTCTTGACAAGCTTGCTGAGAAGCAGAGGCAGGAGATTGATAAGAAACAAAGTGGTCGAGATCGACCCTGATATCTTATATGTTGAAGGTATTAAGATTGCTGCATTTCTCACCCTTTTTTTTTTAATTTGGAAAACATTAGGATTCTTCTTTACAAGTTCACTACGCCCAGAGAGGGAAGGAAATTGTCTTCTTGACAACAATTAATTTAGGTTTATTTAGAGCTTAATTACATGTTCACTTAGAATATTATAGGTTTTTAATTTATGTTCATCCATAAAATTAAATGAGATACAATGTCTTTAACTAATTGAGTTGCATCAAACTATTACTTGATCTCTAGTACGCCCTTGTCATGAGCTATGCAAGTTTAGGCACCATCTAAAGAGAAAAAATAGCATGAACGAGTATAAGAATATTCAGTAAGTACCCTTATAACCATTCAACTGAGATCATTTATTGATAGAACTTTCATAAATTATAGACTACTTTTCTTTCAAGACCCTCACAACTAACTTGTCTCAGCTTAACTTAAACAACAGGGTCTTACTTTGACATGCTATTTAAATCATTATGAACATATGAGGTGTTTAAATGATTATGAACATATGAGGTGTGATCTTATAATTTGATAGAGGTTAGTAGATAAATGCACTAAAAATACATTCAAGTATCATTATTTCATTAGGTTAATATTAATTAATTTAGTTCTCCAAATTTTTATCTCCACACGAAAAGTATATCCGAACAACTTAAAATGAGTATCAACCGAGCATAACCCAATTGGCTAAACTTAACGGATTAAAAATAATAAATAAATAAATAAAGTGGGTTAGTTTGAGAATTTTGAACTTGATATTTATGGTCATTGAATGAGGTAGTTGATATTGCAGAATATTGTTTGGGCTTTTGAGCTGCAAAATAAATTATGACATAAAATGTTGATTGTATAATACAATATAATAACTTGATTGTAACCCAAATCTGCCAACCTACTCTTTTAATGAATAATAATAATAATAATAATAATTAAAAAATTTAAGGTCCATCCCTATCCATCTTCCATTATTTCATCTTTAATTTTTTAATCCAAAAATTCAAATTTCAAAAATAAAACCAAGATAATAATTTCATTTATTTATCAAAAATAAATAAATACTTGAATTTCAATTTTAAAATAAAATTATTCGAAATTAAATATTAAATCGCCACGTCAATTTATCAAAATTCTTAAAAATTTATATATATATTTTAGAATTAAAAATTTAAAAAATTGGATTAGTATTTCACCTTGTATGGCTAGAAACAGTAAGGCCATGGTGGCACTGGCCAGCTCTTCACCGTCAGCATTAAATTTGAAGAACCAAACCCACAAAGGCCCTCAACATAGCTACACATATAAATGTCATACCAAAATTAAAGGCCCTAAGCTTCACAAAATGCCTCCTCCTTCACTGAATTTCATGTTTTTTCTGTCTCTACTGCTCCTTTTGCATCTCCGACCTGCAATTGCTGCTATAACGATCCCTCCCGGGTACTCGGTTCCCGCCGTCTTCGTCTTCGGAGACTCGATCGTCGATACGGGCAACAACAACAATGTCATTACTCAAGCTAAGTGTAACTACCCGCCCTACGGTAGGGATTTCCCCAGTGGACGCCCGACCGGCCGATTCTCCAACGGCAGGGTTCCCTCCGACCTAGTTGGTATAAACAATTTGCTTTTGAATATACATATAACGTAATTGTAGGAACGGAATGGAGAGTTTGAATTTCTTTTTTCGTTATTTTTAGTTGATGCTCTCGGTATCAAAGAACTCTTGCCACCGTATGCCGACCCAAATCTTCAACCCGAAGACTTAATTACCGGCGTTAACTTTGCTTCTGGTGGAGCGGGATTCGACCCTCTGACCTCTCAAACAGCGGTATATATCTATATATAAACTCATCTCACTCTTTCCCATTAAAATCACTAAATTACTTATCGTAATTTAAAAAATTTATGGAAATTTCAACGCGCTTTCATCCATTTAATCGACCACTTGTCACTATCGCAGTAACTTTTTGTCAATTTAACTGTAATTTACCTGATCAACCAACCGTTAAAATTAATTTAAGATAAATTCAAATGAAATTTTTTTGAAATTTCAGCCAGCAATATCACTTGAGGATCAATTAGCAAATTTCAGAGCATACAAGAAGAAGCTAGAAGGGGTTGTAGGAGAAGAAAGAGCAAAGTTCATAATAGTCAATAGCCTTTACCTTGTGGTGGCTGGCAGCAATGACATAGCCAACACCTTTTATCTTGCAAGAATAAGACAACTTCACTTCACCATTAGTTCGTATACTGATTTCATGGCTCGATCCGCTTCCGCTTTCGTCAAGGTAAACCCTAAACCCGAATTCCGAGCTTAACCCATTGTTCCATTACAAGTTTAGTTTCGTAAACTTTCACGTCTGTGTCTATTTAGTGCTTCAATTTTATAAACAGGGTTCTTAAACTTTCGTGTTTTTCTCCTGCAAAGGAACTGTACGCAGCTGGTGCACGAAGAATTGGGTTCTTCTCGACTCCACCGCTCGGTTGCGTACCGTCGCAGAGAACTTTGGCGGGTGGGATTCAAAGGGCGTGCGTGAACGAGTATAATAATGCTGCAAAGCTTTTCAACGGGAAGTTGCATTCCACTCTAGATCACCTTCAAACTATACTCCCGGATAGTAGATTGGTTTACGTGGATATTTACAACCCTTTACTTGATGTCATCCTAAACTACGCTAAATATGGTATGTTCACCTTCAAACACAGTATACTGACACTGACTTAATTCTAGGTCACTGTCATATCGTACCGTATTTCGACTCGGGGCTGACTAATTGGCTAACGATTTTCAGGATTCGAAGTTGCGGATAGAGGGTGTTGTGGAAGCGGGTTAATTGAGGTGACGTTTTTGTGCAATAAGTTCGTGAAGACTTGCCCTGATAGCACCAAGTACGTGTTTTGGGATAGCTTTCATCCCACACAAACAACTTACACCCTCCTTGTTGCTCCTATCATCCAAAGATATATTTCTCGCTTTCTATAGTTCTAATTAATTTAACGATAAACAAAATCACAATAATTTTCTCGAATTCTCAATAAAACTCAACATATTTATATTCTTTATTCATATATTATCTTTTACATTAAGTTACACGTACATCTCCCTAATAGTCTTGTGAGACTAACGATAATACATAACGAGCCGAAATGGACAATATGTACTAGTGGTGGGCTTAGGCTGTTACAAGTGGTATCAGAGCAAAACATCAGGTTACATTTTAAAACCGTGAGACTAACGACGATATTTTCATAAATATATATTTTTTAATATAAAGTTTATAAAAACAATGAGATTAAATACGTTTGAAAATATAGAATAAGTTTGTTTTAATTTACATATTTAGTAATTTTGGTTAAAAAAAATGACATACTTTTTTCGCGAAAATAATTTAATTAATTATTGTAATAAGAATATTAGGATAAATTAAGTAAAATAATTGGCATTAATTAATGATAAATGTTTTTACCCCAAATAAATAATTAATTAGATAATTTAATTTATAAAAAAGAGGAAATTAATGAGTTATAACTACTTGTAGTTGATGTAATTTATAATGGCCAACTGTATGACAAATTGGAATTGATGTATGCTTTATTTATTTAAATCTATATTTAATTCAGTATCAATTATGAAATTTAGTTGGTAGATAAATATTTTTTTTTCTTTTAATTTCAATTATTAAACCTTGTATTTAAAAAAATAAATCTAACACAAATTTTAATTTGCAAGCCTCGATATGGTGGGACCCACTTTGAACAGGTCGAACAATGAGGAGGGAACGATTTATTTTCGACGCCTTGGTCCCGCCTAGTTTATGAAAAATCTTTACGGAAAGCCTAAAAAATATTGAAAAATCCTGATAAATATTTAATGTTGAAAATTACCGTTTAACCTGAGAATGAAAAGAGAGTATATATATATATATATATATTGAGAATGAATTGAATTTCTCCCGCTCCATTTTCGATAAAATAAAAAAATATATATATTTAAATTATTTTTTATTTAAATTAAAAAAATATTTGTAATTTTCTTATTTATTTTTAAAAAATATCCTCATAATTCTAAGTCTCGACTTTTGTTTAATTTTTTATTTCTATTAATTTTGATAATTTTTTATTTCTACAATTTTTTTTGAAAGAAGGAAAGGGAAAAGTCATACTATTTGACCATCTTTTACCATTATTACTATAATTTTGTAATGATTTGACGATGTTCTAAATTCTTAGTTACTGGATTAGATGCGAGTTGTGATATCTCGGGCGACCGAATTCACTGAGAAATTGGCGCCCATCTTCCAAATTCCATTGTTTGAAGATCGAAAAGGAAACCCTAGACTGGAAATCTGGTCGGTCCAAGCAACTGTTCTTCAGGTTCCTCAAATATGGAGCCTGTTGTCGACAAATTAAAAGGTTTTGGGACTGCAACCCAGAATTTCTTTGATGGCTTAGTTCATCGCCGCGAGAAATCATCTCGCCGCAGTCCGGTAATGGTTTTTATTTTTTATGTAATATCGTAATGTGTTTCTTCACGTCTGAATATTGGCGGTTCTCGTTGTTCCTATGATGCTGGTTTTAGTTTCCAGTTCATTTCCTGTTGTGTTTTGAACATGAAGACTTCGATTTTAGTGGCTCGTTTTCTGTAGGAAGTTTTAATGTCCAAAACTTGATGGCTATGTGTTAACATTGTTGAATATTGCCCTATGGCTATCCTTCTTGATGAACTTCTTGGCTTGAATTTTAATGAATGTTCTCTATTTGGCTTTGGAAATTGATACGATTGTGTAAATCACTACTGGGTGGTTAGTGAGAACTTATTTGTTGGATGCCCGAGAGAGGAATACTTTGAATTTGTATCGAGTAGTTATCAAGGGTGCGCTGATTTTGGATATACACTGTGAGATCCCACGTTAGTTTGAGAGGAGAATGAAACATTTCTTATAAGGTTGTGGAAACCTCCCCCGGGAAGCCCCAAAGGGAAGGCTCAAAGAGTACAATATCCCTAGTGGTAGGGTTGGGTTGTTACAAATGGTATTAGAGCTAGGCACCGAGCGGTGTGCTAGCGAGGACGCTGGCCCCCAAGGAGGTTGATTGTGAGATCTCATATTGGTTTGAGAGGAGAACGAATCATTTCTTATAAGGGTGTGGAAACCTCTCCCTAATAGACGCGTTTTAAAACCTTGAGGAGAAGTCCAGAACGGAAAGCCTAACAATGACATGATCAAGGCATGCTTATGAATATCATCTAAAATGAATTCTCGTTTTCTCTTACCAGTGATTTGATTTCTTTTCAAGTTGTCCATTTCAATCACAAATTTCTGCAACTTATGATTTCATTGGTACCACAAATTTGTATGGCATGGTAATTAAAGGTTCTTGCTGGTTCATTATTTCAGATTGAAATCATGAAGCGGCTACAAAGGGAAGCATTTTCTGATATAATGAGAATCAGGGACAGACAAGACAAGGTAGAGAAGATTTTATCCTTTTACAATACACAGAAGAGTAGTCCATTCCAAGAAAGCGCCACCCATGTAAAAGGCGAGGTTCATATGGTGGGTGCATTGCTATTGATGAGTGTTATTGATAATCATAGCTTCAATGCACTTCGTAGAGCAGGGGTCTCAACAGGAATTCACTCGAGATTGACTTTTGAAACAACTGTAAGAGAGAGTGATTCTCTTGTTGCAGAGTTTGTAGCGAATCAGAAAGCCGTGGTGGATTCTGGTGTCGATTCTGGACGTGAACTTACTCTATCTAAAGTTCTTTATAAAGCCAGTGTGAGAGATTGGATGTCTGCAATTGTTGTCCCTGTTGGAGCTCGATGTCGGGATGTTGCTGTACTTGCAAATCCTTCTCATCAGGTATATTTAGTTTATGCTTATGAAGTTCTATATGAGTTGATTGGACTAGTATGTAATTTCGTGTGATGTTCTTAGGTTGCGGTGATTCTGAAGTAGTTAAGATGAAGTAAACCACCCCATTAAATGCGTTATAACCAGATTTTAGGGGAATGTGTTCAAATAGTATGATGATTTCCTATGTAAGATATTGAAGTGTTAGAAGCTTTCTGACAACCAAATGTTATAGAGTCGAGTACTTGTCTCGTGTGATTAGTTGAAGTTCGCACAAACTGGTTTGAACACTCACAAGCATAAGATATAGCGAGTGGATTGGCTTCTACTTTTAGCTTGACACAGGATGAGTTATTCGGGTAGTTGTACTTTCCCCGATACAATTGTTAGGAGCTTTCATGTAAAAGTTGTTTCATGGACGTAAAGAGAGAGGGTGTAACGACCCAAGTTCACTGCTAGCAGATATTGTCCTCTTTGAGCTTTTCTTTTCGAATTTCCCCTCAAGGTTTTTAAAACGCGTATGCTAGGAAGAGGTTTCCACACTCTTATAAAAAAATGGTTCGTTCTCCTCTCCAACCGATGCGGGATCTCACAGCGAGTGTGAAATGGGTTATGTTTATGTGAGCTATATTATATGATTCTCTTGTAATCTTCGTCCATCGGAATGAAAGTCGCTACAAGTATGTAAATTATTTGGTGTTACTTTTGTCTGTGTAATACTTTCCCGGAGCCCTGTTATCATGTATGCATATAATATCATATGTTTGTGAATGCTCCCCGGTATATTTTACTAAGAACGCGTTATCACGTTATCGATTTGGTTTATAATTTATGAAGTTAATCTGAGAATGGTGCTTCTATGTGGTAGGAAAAGGGTCTTACTGATATTTCATCATATGGACCACCCCTTTTGGATCAGCCTAACGGTGGTGCCATTGGTTTAACAGTCAGAAAATCCAATGTCACAGCTTCCATAGCTCAATTCATTTCCACAGAGACAAACCAGCCAAGTTTAGATCGGATTCAACATGACCTTGGCACTTTTGGGCAACTGGTATGTCAACTTCCAAGAGCAACAAAACTCTCACTTCTAGGTCTTCTCGAAGTACCGAAACTATCTAATCTCAACCTTGGAGCTCTTACGATTCCAGTCTGTCTCAGGATTCGACATGAATCTCCCGAAACAGTCGAGGCACCCGACCCCGGGAAAGCTATTTCAAGGAGATCCATTGCTTTACATCTGGAGTCGGAACTCAATGAAGCAACCAGAATTGGAGGTTGGGTTGAGCTGAACCAATCAAATGGAAAACAAATACAATGGGCTGCATCAATGTCTGATAAGAACAACAACGAAGATGCATTAGGGTGGGGAATGAGTTTAAGCGGAATTGTTGGCGGCCCACAAGAAAGTGATCAGTTTAAGGCTGAATCTTATGTGACACTGAATATGAACAAGCGATTCAAGTTAAAGCCAGGGATTGCATATGTGACAGACGGCAATGCCAAGGCGATGGCTTTCCTTGTTAGCTCTAATTGGTCTCTCTGAATGATGTGATTTGGTATATTGTTATAACAAATTGGCTGAATCTGAGGGCCATTCGGCAGATGTTCTTCATACAAAGTATATGGTAAAGTATTGAATTTGCTGCTTTTTCTTATAAGGTATTGAATTTGGCTGCATTTGTTGTTCCCAATTATGGTATTCTTTTTACTTTTGAAATTTCACAAAATATTCGAATTTTTCTTTCAAACAGATGCAGATATCGATGAAAAAAACATTCGCTTCTTAAGAACGAAGGCGGAAGAACGTTTCTGTAATTGTTAAATTACATTTTTAGTCCTAAAATTTTGATGTTTGTGTACTTGTAAATTTTTAAAATTTTAAAATTAAATTTTTGTCAAATAAAAGTGAACTAAATATGTCAAGCTATTTATTTTGTTCATGCACTTATAATTTTTTAATTTTAAATATTTTTAAAATTTTATCGTATATAAAATTATTATTATTATTATTTTTTTTTTTTTTGTGAAAAATAAAAGTTTTCTATAAAGGGGAGTGGGTTATCATCGGAGGATTTTAAACTTAAGAGACGTTTTTGTGGTCAGATTACTCTCTTCGTTTCGCAACGCAGCGCCTCGGTCTGGGTTTGAGACCTCATCGAATCTTCCAGAAAGCGAAATACGGCACCATGTCTTCAGGCAGGAAGATCAC